TCGGCCTGGGGAGCACCGGGGGCGTCCCAGGACGGCCTGCCGCCTCCGCCCGGCCGCTCTCAGAGACGAGCACCGGTAGGGCGAGGGGCAGCAGTCGCAGGTTGTAGCGGAGGAAGTTAAAACTGGGTGGAGGAGAAGCACCGAGAGGATGATGCGGCACCAGAGCAGGTGCCTGGAGGAAGTGGGAGGGCTTCCACGTTGGCGGGACTCGAAGCTTGACAAGGGCTTGTCAGAGATTCAGGGGGTGGATCAGATGGCCCCCAGAGATCCCTTGCAAATTGAATGTTTCAGTGATTCTGGGCTGCAGCTGGTCAGTGTTTCTGTCACCGTTAGACATGCTAGATACCCTTGGCATGGGCCCTGGATAACATATAGCTAGTAGGGAGGCTCACTGGTGCCAAAGAGACGCTCTGCTGTCATGGTGGTGGGGATGTAGAGGTGCAGGGAAATGCTTTGCTGGGGCACAGTGGATCACAAACAGGGTAGAGCCAAGTTTCAGTGTTTCTTGAGCTATATGACGGATGGATGTGCATCAGGAATCTTGCTGTCAGCCCCACAAACGGTTGTTTCTGATGGGTCTGATTTGTCTGTAACTAGGAAGAGGTTAGCTTAACCAGATATATGTAAACTGTCCATTCTTCTCAGCAGTCAAATTTTATTACAGCCCTATCCTGCTGTCCTGAAAAGTGTCATGGCCAGCAATGCAGTGGATGATAAAACAAATTTTCCCATAAGAAGTTGTGTTATGTGAGGTAACATGTTCAGGGAGTTATGAAATGCGCACAATTTAAATACACAGAGGCGTGATGCAGAAGATGGGATAGTAGGAGTAGGCTCATCAGCTGGTGTGGTTGGTGATTTTTATCGGTCTTTAAAGAAAAAAATCACCATTCTGAAAGACCTTTACCCCTTCATCAGTGAGAGTGAACATCCAGTGTAAATGTATTGTAAGTACTCTTGCAGCCTCTTTCTGGATGATTACATTTTCCTCATTACCATCATCTTCCTCAGGTGATTAAAGAAAGATCAAGTCAATCTAGGTTGAAGGATGGAGGATGGGGTGATGATGATTAGCAGAGCAGAATGTTGAAATGGTTAGTGACAACTCTGAAACAATGGCTAGAGAAACAGTGGGTAATGGGATGTTGCTCTAAGGAGCTGCTCTCCAGCACTTATCTGTGAGAGTAAAATTAGGGCTTTTATTTTTTCCCAGACTTTCTCTATTGATTAGAGGCTGTCTCTTTAACTCTTGTTTTGCTTTGCTGCTTCTTCCCACAGAGTGATTTTTAGATACGAATTCTGTAATTATTGCTGTGTGGGAATATTGTTACTGTAATTGTGAATTTCTTCTTACTAACCCAATTCTCTTGTACAGCTGAATGAGCTAGTGGTGGGAGACACCAACGGGAAACTCTATGTTTACAAGAATGATGACAGCAAACCCTGGGCTGTGCGGTCTTGTCAAGGAATGGTCAGTTCTTGACAAAATTTTTCAATGGTTGGGCCTTTTGGTGTGTGTGCAGCCAGCTGTCCTTGGCCACTGCCTAGGAATACGTAGGCCAGAGGGGAATGGCAGCCAGAACTGGTTCTGATGCCTTTCATGTAGTTATGCAAGACCCTGCTTTTGCCCACAACTAGTCCCATGGGTGAGAAGTGATGAGCAAAGTACTGAACAAACACAGGAACTGGGCTTCTGTCCCACCTTGTCTGTGCTCCTGTGCCCTGTGGATTTTGCCTCAGGGCTCTGGGCAGTTGTGCAGCAAATATGTTTCTGTCCCTGACTCTGCTCTCTTTGTCCTTGAAAAGGTTGTTTAGAGTTCAAGAGATAGTTTATGAGAGAGGAGGGAGTAAGGCAGAGTGCTGTTTTGGGTTGCCTTCTCATGTATTGCCTTTTTTTGTCTTGCAGCTCACGTGCGTTGGTGTGGGAGATGTATGCAATAAAGGAAAGGTGAGAGCAGCCAAACTCTTCCCAGCTGTGTCTGTAGGGTATGTGGGAGGTGCTTAGGACATTAGGGTCATGTCAGATCCTCAGAGTGGAGGAGGACAGGTTGCAGGTGCTTTCTCTCCAGGATCTGCCCTTGCTCATAGAGTTTTAGCACTACTGTTCTAAAACTGTTTTTCTGTTTACATATAACCTGTATCTGTGAGCAATATGCAGGTTTTAGTGAGCAAGGAAATCCATCCTATCTTCAGGAAGCACTATTGATTTGCATGTCCACCTGTGTGAGTGCCACAAGGCTTTGGTGGTTTGAGTGTTGCTCCTTTTCCTCAGTGGCTTTTGCCCTGCTCCGTGCTGGTCCCTGCTGTGGGCCGTGACCCTTCTGCCACTTGGCTGTGTGCATTTAAGATCATCTAAACAAGACTGAGTCACAGAATAGTCTAGACTCCCAAGCAAATTCCACTGGGTCTAATATGACTCCTTTTGCTGGACTGCTATTTCTGGGGGTTAAGCCAGGACCACTGAGTCCAAAAGTCCCAGTTTAGGCACCCTGCCTAAAATACTGTAGCAATGTGTACTCCAGTGGGGAGCAGAGCTGAAGTGAGCATTGAGAAAGCCACACGTTTGGGGATTGTGTGCGCACATCAGCTTGATATCCTAGACTGACAAGGATGAACAAGAAGTTTGGACCCTGTAGTATCCAAGTAGTTTGTATCTGGCCAAAAACCTTCTGTTGCCTCTGTAGCAGTCATTGATCTTGATGAATCTACCCTTATATCTTCCCTCGTCCTGCTGTGCGATAGCTTTTGCAGTTTTTAGAAGAGGAAAAATCAGAAGATTTTTTTCTTCCCTCTTAGAATCTCGTGGTGGCAGTGAGTGCAGAAGGCTGGTTTCATCTTTTTGACCTGACTTCGCCAACTTCAAAACACCCAGATGCTTCAGGCCACCATGAGCTGGCCGCAGCAGCAGAAGAGCAGAAGCCAGCGTTCAAGCAGCACATTCCTGCCAACACCAAGGTCATGCTGATCAGTGACATTGGTGAGCTGGGAAGCTGATGTGGGAGTGCAGGGTGAGGGCATTTGTGGGTATTAGGGGGGGAGGGGGGGAAGAGAGAAAGTTTGTGGGACTCACAGAAGGAAATTACTGTCTTGCTGAAACAGGTGCTCTAACAAACTGCAGCCAAGTTGTGGAGGAGAGAAACAGGAACTTCAGGAATTTTCCTGAAGCGCAAGTTCTCATTACAGGATTGGGATCCTCAGGGATGCTACCTAATGGAAACCAGCACAGTGGTTTCTGAATGTTGGGATCTTGGGGTTATGAAAACCTGAGAGAGCCCATCTATCTCCTTGTATTGCCTGCAGATGGAGATGGGAAGTGTGAGTTGGTGGTGGGTTACACTGACAGGGTGGTACGTGCCTTCCGCTGGGAGGACTCGTCGGAGAATTCAGACCATATCTCTGGGCAGCTGCTCCTGTTGAAGAAATGGCTGCTAGAAGGTCAGGTAAGGAAATGGGATGTTCAGAGCAGAACTTGTCTTAGTCTTCAAGAGGTGGCTCTCCCAAGGGAGGAAGCACAAAATCTCAGTCCTGTGAACAAAGCAATGTTGTGTCGATGGCCTGAAAGATTATTTGCCCAGTGGTTGTCCTATACATGCAGAGCAGCTGGTGGGTTGGTCTGGGAAACAGTCACTTGCTGTCACCCAACTATAGAGCATTAGTGGAAATTACCAGTGTGTTCTTAAGTGGCTTTTGGTAGGGAAACAACCTTTTACTGTAATTTGGACATTTTGCTTCTAGCTGAATTTGTTCAGCTTGTGCTCAGCTCTGTCAGAAGATCTGCCATATCTAAGTTTAGGTACAAGGAGCACAGTGAACCCTTCTGAGATGTTTAAAGTTCTCGATTTGAGTCTATTCATTTTTTTCCTCTGCCAGTATAGGTGGACAGCCTCTCTGTGAACCCAGGTCGTGATGGCTCACCGGAGATGATGGTGTCTCAGCCAGGCTGTGGTTATGCCATTCTGCTGTGCACCTGGGTCTCTGAGCAGCAGGCCACAACAGAGGGGAGAGACACTTCTGCCCCAAGCAGG